CAGTGCAACTGAAAATTCGTGGCCCATGCACAGAAGTCAGCATTTTGTGGAAGAGCCACACTCAAGGGGCCAACGAGCAGCATGTGGCTCGCGAGCCGCGGTTTGCTGAGCCATAGTTTGCCAACCACTGTCCTAGACAATCACCAAACCTGGGGACCACCAGGTCTGAGAACCCCCAACACCAGCACCTGACATATTCTAGAATCTAGATGCTGGTGATGCCAGACACGACACATACAACTGCGGCTTGTGTCCCTCAAATCCTGAAGGAGGATATAAATGCATAGGTGGACAGACAGAGATAAGTAGACAGATAGAAAGGAAGAGAGACAGACCAAATAAAGTCACTTCCTAGCATAATAAGAGCCATCAAGAAAATAACGAATAAAGCAGGCTAATGAGCAGGAGAGGCTTTGGGAGCAGGTGTGGGAGAGGCTAGGGCCTGAGGAGGTCAATCTAAGGTGGTGATGCAAACGAAGAGCAGCAGCCCAGAGCTCGCCTGGCAGAAGGGTGAGCAGCACAAGGGCCCCACGGCAGGAACGCACAGCACGTTCTAGGCACAAAGAGAAGGGCAGGACAGAGCGAGGGGAGCCAGTGCACAGGGAGCAGTGGGTTCAAAGGGAGCCTGACAGGCTGCACGGCTTCAAGGCTCACAGCCAAAACGGTGTCCTGAGGGAGAGGGGAGCCCCGGGAAGTTTTAAGCAAGAGAGCAATCACAGGTCCGCTCTAGCTGCTCTAGAGAAGCCAACAAGAAGCCAACAAGAAGATGCCTCAGGAGGCCGTCAGGGGCCTGCAGGCCGCTGAGGTCAGGGGAGCTGGGAGCTGCTAGCGTTGGCACGTCACTCCACCTCCCGGCTTTCGGTTTCCTTACTCCTCAAATGACAGGTCTGAACCAGAAAAGCCTGCTCAACCGTGCCGGCTCCAACAGTCCAGGCCTCGCCTGGTCCCTCTGCGTGGACCCCGGGTGATCAGAGCTCGGGGGCCGGAGAACCAGAACCTGGAGTCCCGCACTCAGGCACGTCGTGGTGTGTGTTCTTACAAACTGAAGGCAGCACCCCTGCCGGCAAAGAGACACGGGACACGGCTCCCGGCTCCCAGCTCCCGGCTCCCGGTACTGTGGTGATCGGGACAGAACCTGCCATATCTCCGAGCTACCCTGGGCAGGGTCAGCCTCCATGAACACGATTCGCATGAAACGCCCAGGAAGGGTTCACGAGCGACCAGCACCACCCGAGGCAGGAACAGGAGCGTGTCCCTGGGACACTAAGCATTAGCTCTGGGACTGCAGACTCCCACAGAGGAGGGGAACCTCAGGAAGCAGCTCATGCGGGGCTTTTAGTCTTTTTCCTTTTT